TTTTAAAGTTTACGCACTATGTAAAGCTTTTTATTTATGAGGTATTATGGTGGTGAGAAGTGTACTCTGAACCCTGGGACAACAGCTTAATCCATCAAGTTGATCTTCAGTGTCCAATGTGGGACCAAAAGTGCAGTTAGACCAAACGTTATATAATGTGAGGTCACACTGCTGGAGGTGAGCAGACGTCTGGTGGTGGAATTATGCACTATTGTGGTTGAGGCACTTGGTGATCACTTAAGGAGGGGACACCGCAAAGAAGAAATCAGTTTGGACTTTTAATTTTTTGTGCATATTTTGTTTATACACACTAAATATTCTGAACATTTAATTTAATTTTCTTTTCTTTTTATACACTTTGGTTTCATGATTTGTAGCATTGCACTGGTTTTCACAACAACACTGAAAAATATATTCCCATGGGCAACAAGTTCAAAAGACTAAAAATCAAACCAATGTGGCTTACAGTCAAAGTTAAAAAAGCTATAGATAATAAGAAAAGAGCTTTTATTAAATATAAAAATGAAAGAATGCTATCATTGTTTAAACATTACAAAGAATAGATATAATATATATATATATTTATACTGTATATATAGAATATGTAAAAAGAAAATAAAGGCCGCAAAAAATTGAAAACGAACGACAGATTGCAAAAGATAGCAGGAGCAACCCCCAAAAAGTCTTCAAATATATTAATAGTAAAAAGGTTCGGTCCGAGCATGTAGGCCCTTTACAAAATTATCTAGAGTAGGTGACTGGGGACAAAGAGAATGCAAAATTATTAACTACCTTATTCAGCTCTGTGTATACAAAGGAGCATTGGGGAGCTCTTGTCCATAATGGGCATGGTATTGACACAGCTCCAGATGATCCACATTGGCTCACAATTGATATGATCCAAAAATATTTAGACACAATAAAGGTGGATAAAGCATCTGGACCAGATGGCATACACCCACGGGTCCTTAAAGAATTGAGCTCTGTCATTTCAAAGCCATTGTTTCTAATTTTTAGGGACTCTTTAATGACTGGCATAGTACCGCTGGACTGGTGTAAGGCCAATGTGGTGCCAATATTTAAAAAGGGGTCAAAATCTTCACCAAGTAATTATAGACCTGTTAGTTTAACTTCTATAGTTGAGAAGATACTGGAGAGTTTAATAAAAGACCACATGGAAAAAAATATTTTAACCAACAGACAGCATGGATTCATGAAAGACAGAAGTTGTCAAACAAATCTGATTTCTTTTTATGAGGAGGTGAGCAAAACCTTGGACAGAGGGGTGGTGGTGGACGTGGTATACTTGGACAGAGGGGTGGCGGTGGACGTGGTATACTTGGATTTTGCAAAAGCATTTGGCACAGTTCCCCACTCACGGCTAATGTGTAAGGTAAAGTCTACAGGCTTGGGAAAATCTGTATGTAAATGGATAGAAAACTGGCTAAAAGATGGTGTCAGGGTAAAAATGCTTCGTGTTGGTGCACATCTATGTGCCAACATCGGGTACCCATCAGCCGTGCCAGTGCGCATGCGCATGCAGTTGCACGCACGCATGCACACACCAGCGTGCACAGGCAGGCTATTTAAACCCCTGCTGCACTTAGAATGGTGGCTTCTGGTCTACTACGTTCTGTGCTTATATCCTGACTCCTGTTATCTACCTGATTTGACCTGACTAAGATTGAACTCCGCCTGCACCGACCCGGCTAATCCCTTGACTATCCGCTTGCCTGCTCCTCTGTACCTGATCCACCCGATTGATTCTGACCCAGCTTGTCTGATACTTCTACTTTTGCCTGTGACTATCTCTGGCTGCCAGCTGCCTCGGTTGTCCATACCTCTGCTATACCTTCCTGCTGCTGCACCTGCTCACCTGCATCTGTAACCAACCTGAATCCTGGTCTTTCGGGTCATCACCTGCCAGCTGTCACCGCAGACCTGTCGGGCACTTGTGCCCCACCTAGCTCGATACCTTCTGTCTACCCTATCAGGGGTCCCAAACGGGAGTGGTAAGAGGATGCCCTCTCTCCACATCAGGCTTCCCAACCAGGTATGTTACAATACCAGAAGGCCATGTCGGAGCCTGAGAGAGGGGCCTCTCCTCTAGATGAAATCTGTCATCACATGTCAGCACTAACACAGGCCGTCAAGGATCTGCAAGAGGGATACACACTACTGGAGAACCGCCTTCAGACCTTACCTGCACCTGCACCTTCTGCTAGTGCAGCAGCAGCACCTGCTGCTGCTCCAGGAAACATGATGCCTCCTGCTGTAATGATGCTACCCCCAGAACCAAGGGTCCCTACACCGGAGAGATTTGCTGATGATCACTGCAAATTTCGGGCATTCCACAATGCATGTGAACTTTATTTCGCTTTACAACCCCGTACCTTTTCACTAGAAGCAACTAAGGTGGGGTTTGTGATATATCTGCTCCAGGGAGACCTGCAGGCATGGGCCCATCACTTGCTGGAAAAGGAGGATGCCAAATTAGCCTCCTTAAATATCTTTTTTGAGTCTATGGCTCAGCTCTACGATGACCCCCAGTGATCTGCATCAGCAGAGGCCGCTCTTCATGCACTCCAGCAGGGACGCAGGGCAGTGGAGGACTACATTACTGAGTTTAGGCACTGGAGAGACGGTACCAAATGGAACGACGCTGCCCTACGTTACCAGTTCCTCTTAGGCCTTGCTGAGCCCCTCAAGGATGAACTAGTCCGCGTGAGAGTACCCAACACACTGGAAAAACTCATCAATATCTCTATACAGATTGACCGTCGTCTCAGGGAGCGTAGATTAGAAAGATCTACCGGGCTAGGCTGCCCCATGTGGATGCTACCCAGGGCACCACCACCAGCAAACATGGTGCCAACCAACTCCACTACACCATCAGTTGCAGAACCTGAACCCATGCAACTGGGGCTATTACGAACCTCATTGACACCTGAAGAATGCCAACGTCGGCCCCAGAACAACTTGTGCCTCTATTGCAGAGAATCAAGGCACTATGTGCGAAATTGCCCCACCAAGTTCCATAAGTCGCCAAACAACTTACCTATCAGTCCACCTTCTGCTCCCATCAACCCTGCTCACATCCCTATTACCGTCTCATTTCAGCTTTCAGAAAGAGCCCTTCCGGTCTTCACTATCCTTGACTCCGGAGCTCGCAGCTGTTTTATTGACGTAGCCTTTGCCCGGCAACACCAGATACCCTTACAAGCCAAAGCACAGAGTCTTACAGTATATTTGCCTGATGGATCCAACATAAAATCTGGAGCAGTAACCCAGGAAATGATTCCCCTACCATTCATGATACCTTCCTCTGGCCAGAAGGAACTACTATGTCTGGATGCCATTGCTTCCCCACTATTTCTGGTCATCTTGGGAATCCCCTGGTTGCAGGCACATAACCCTAACATCAATTGGGTATCTGGTGAGGTGAACTTCCAGTCCGCCTACTGCCACAAGCATTGCCTGCTCCAACCTTCGACTCCATCCAGACCCCTACTGTCAGGAATGGACTTGCCAGTAATGGTGGGACTCACCTGCCTTGTGGGCTGCAGTACCAGGGCTGGCCAGCGGGTGCTCTCAGCAATCAGAGACTCAACCCTGTAGTCAGCCAAACACCTGAAGCTGATTATGCAGGTGTATTTAAGGGATGGCCAGACCTGCAGTCTGCCTTGGTGTGTGCTTTTCTATGGGCCCCTGTATCTTGTTACCTGCATCCCTGTTCCTGTTCCTGTCTGACTGATTCGTTGCTGACCCTGCCTGATCCGGACCTCTGCTGACTTCTCCTGTTTGATCCCTGGCTTGTGACCCCGACCATTCTCTGCCTGACCCCCTGTACCTACCTGCCCATTAGTTGCTGTACCCGGCTCGTGACCTGACTACTCTCTGCCTGCTCCTCCTGTTCCTACCTGCCCGATTGTTATTGACCCAGCCTGCCTGACGACGCTTGCATTGTATGTATTGTTATCTGTGGGTGGTTTGGTTTGGTTCGTTTGCACTGTGTTATGTTTTAGTATTGCACTGCGTTTATGTATTGTTAGTGTTAATAAATTATATTGTTTATAACATATCTGAAGCCTACGTTTTCCCTGCGTTAGTTCACATACCTCTGGTCATACCCTGGAGCCCTGACATTACACCAAGGCCAATCCTGACCAGAAGTGGCTGCACAGGGAAGCCATCTTGGCTTATTGTTGCTGGGAAGGATGCATCTTGATGAGGTTGTGTATTTATCTCTGCTAGTGTTTGATGACAGAGAATATGCTTATCAGACTCTGAAGGAATATCCCAGGGATCAGCTACTAGAATGTATACGGATAGCTCATTGCCTAGTAGATCAGGGCACAGAATTCTCTGAGGTGCAGCCATTGATTCATTTTTGTGCTGAGTTGGTTTCATCTGGTTCCCCCGAATGCAGGGATGAATTTTTGCCGCCATTTAGTGCCAACCAGGTAGAGTCCCTGGTATGGTTATTAGAGGATGATGTGGATTACTTTCTGGAGCGTTATTCTGCATGTTCACCACAGGTACTAAGAGATTGTATAAACGCAGTGCAGTCTTTGACCAGACAGGCTTTGTGTAAGCGGAGCTTTGTTCAACTTATACTGCAGACATGGTCAGACTTGTTGCACCCAGCCTCAGTCAGCTTACAACATCATTCCTCCACTCAAGGCACTCTTCCTGCATCCCTGACAGCACCCCCAGTGACTGCCCAGTATACTCTAACTACCACATACCAGTCCTCTGCTCCCACTCGCTGCACCTATCCTTTCTTTAACCCTGCAAAGAAGTCCTCTGTAGCAACTGCTCCCTCCTCTGTTCCATCTTCCAGCTCTTCTCTGTCCTCAGCTGCTCCATTCGTTTGCAGACCTGCGTTTACTTGCAGTGCTCCAGTAGTTAAAACCAGAAAAAAATTCTTTCCAACCAGTACCAACCTGCCAGTATCCAAACCGGTGAGCCTGCCGTCTGAGAACCTGCCTTCCGTGGTTCAGCCTGGTGCCTCGGCACCCGCACTTCAGCCTGATGTCTCTACCCAGCCTGATGTCTCTACCCAGCCTGATGTCTCTACCCAGCCTGATGAACTGATCCAACCTGATGAGCCTATCACGCCTGATGACCCAGTGCCCGCTGTCATACCTGGTGACCCGATGCCCGCTGTCGAGCCAGACGATCCAATGCCTGCTGACCCAGTGCCCGCTGTCATGCCTGGTAACCCGATGCCCGCTGTGGAGCCAGACGATCCGGTACCTGATGACCCGGTGCCCGCTGTCATACCTGGTGACCCGATGCCCGCTGTCGAGCCAGACGATCCAGTACCTGATGACCCGGTGCCTGGTGACCCGATGCCCGCTGTCGAGCCAGACGATCCAATGCCTGATGACCCAGTGCCCGCTGTCGAGCCAGACGATCCAATGCCTGATGACCCAGTGCCCGCTGTCATGCCTGGTGACCCGATGCCCGCTGTCGAGCCAGACGATCCAGAGCCAGACGACCCGGTGCCTGCTGTCGAGCCAGACGATCCGGAACCTGATGACCCGGTGCCCGCTGTTGTGCCAATTGACTCAGAGCCCACTGTTGTGCCTGGTGACTCGGTGCCCACTGCCTTGCCAGATGACGCGGTGCCCGCTGTCGAGCCAAATGACCTGATGCCTGGTGACCCGATGCTGCTGACGAGCCAGACGATCCAATGTCTGACCCAGTGCCCGCGGTCGTGCCTGGTGACTCGGAGCCCACTGTCGTGCCTGGTGACTCAGTGCCCACTGCCTTTGCCAGATGACGCGGTGCCCGCTGGCGAGCCAAATGACCTGATGCCTGGTGACCCAGTGCCCGCTGTCATACCTGGTGACCCGATGCCCGCTGTCGAGCCAGACGATCCAATGCCTGATGACCCAGTGCCCGCTGTCATGCCTGGTGACCCGATGCCTGCTGTCGAGCCAGACGATCCAATGCCTGATGACCCAGTGCCCGCGGTCATGCCTGGTGACCCGATGCCCGCTGTCGAGCCAGATGATCCGGTACCTGATGACCTGATGCCCGCTGTCGAGCCAGACGATTCAATGTCTGACCCAGTGCCCGCGGTCATGCCAGTTGATTCGGAGCCCACTGTCGTGCCTGGTGACTTGGTGCCCACTGCCTTGCCAGATGACCCGGTGCCTGCCGCCCCTCCTGGGGGCCCGGTGCCCGCCGCTCCGCCTGGGGGCCCGGTGCCCGCCGCTCCGCCTGGGGGCCCGGCGCCTGCCGCTCCGCCTGGGGGCCTGCGCCCGCCGCTCCGCCTGGGGGCCCGGCGCCCGCCGCCCTGCCTGGGGGCCCGGCGCCCGCTGCTCCGCCTGGGGGTCCAGCGTCTGCCTCTCCGCCTGGGGGCCCGGTGCCCGCCGCTCCTCCTGGGGGCCCTGTGCCTGCCGCTCCTCCTGGGGGCCCTGTGCCTGCCGCTCCTGTTCCTGTCTGACTGATTCGTTGCTGACCCTGCCTGATCCGGACCTCTGCTGACTTCTCCTGTTTGATCCCTGGCTTGTGACCCTAACCATTCTCTGCCTGACCCCCTGTACCTACCTGCCCGTTAGTTGCTGTACCCGGCTCGTGACCTGACTACTCTCTGCCTGCTCCTCCTGTTCCTACCTGCCCGATTGTTATTGACCCGGCCTGTCTGACGATGCTTGCATTGTATGTATTGTTATCTGTGGGTGGTTGGTTTGGTTCGTTTGCACTGTGTTATGTTTTAGTATTGCACTGCGTTTATGTATTGTTAGTGTTAATAAATTATATTGTTTATAACATATCTGAAGCCTGCATTTTCCCTGCGTCAGTTCACATACCTCTGGTCATACCCTGGAGCCCTGACACCTACTATGTATTGATGCTGAAACTGAAGTACACCAAATAGTCCCGGTGGCTTATCACAGCTTCCTGGATGTCTTTAGCAAAAGTGGTGCTGACACCCTGCCGCCACATAGACCATATGACTGCCCAATAAAATTATAACCTGGGGCCGAGATTCCCTTTGGTCAGATTTTCCCCATGTCAGAGCGGGAATTGGAAGCACTGAAAGATTACCTTGATGACAGCACGAAGAAATGATTTATCCGCACATCTGCCTCCCCGGAGGGAGCAGGCATCTTCTTCGTAGAAAAAAGAAGAAATCACTCTCTTCGTCCATGTGTTGACTACCATGAGCTAAATAAGATCACAGTCAAGAACAGATACCCCCTACCATTGGTTACAGAACTATTCCAGAAACTGAGATCTGCAACATTGTTTACCAAACTGGATCTAAGAGGGGCATATAATCTTGTATGTATCCGAGAAGGAGATGAGTGGAAAACTGCCTTACGTACCAGATTTGGGCATTTTGAATACCTAGTTATGCCCTTTGGCCTGTGTAATGCACCTGCAACCTTCCAGCATTTTGTGAACAATATTTTCAGAGACTTCTTAGACATTTTCGCTATAGTGTACCTTGACGACATTTTGATTTTTTCCGCTTCCCTTGAACTCCACCGAGGACATGTACAAAAGGTCCTTAGTCGTCTGAGACTTCATAGTCTTTATGCCAAGCCTGAGAAATGTGAATTTGAACGCCAGATCATCCAATTCTTGGGATTAATCATCTCCACGAAGGTTTCAGGATGGATCCCCAAAAGGTCTCTACCATCTTGGAATGGCCTGCACCATCAGACAAAAAGGGAATACAATGCTTTGTTGGATTCGCAAATTTCTACAGGAGGTTTATCAAGGGCTTCTCAGCTATCAAAGCCCCCATTAACCAACTGACCAAGCATACAGATCTCTTCCCTGTCAGCTGCTGCACACTGCTTTGTACTGTATCTCTCTACATAGCAGAGCCATACAAAGCAGTGTACTTACAGTGAAGCACACACACAGCCCCCATAGTGAAACAGCACACAGTTAATCCTTTGATCAGCCCAGATGTTAACCCCTTCATGCCCAGTGCCATTAGTACAGTGTCAGTGCTTTTTATTAGCACTGATCCCTGTATTGGTGTCACTAGGGATGTCAGTGACACTAAATCAATTCCCCCCAGTGTCAGAATGTCCGCCTCAGTCCCACAGTCTTGCTATAAGTCACTGATCACCACCATTGCTAATAAAAATAAAAAGTTAATGTCAAGGTCCTACCTTTTCCCAGAGGTTATGTTACTCCATGTGCTAGCATCCATCTTGGATTTCTGCTGAGCATGATGGGAATCTTTTATGCCTTCAGGTCTCTGAGGTCCATCCCCCAGAGGGGTGTGGCTGAGTACATATAAGCCTGGGATCTGCACATGCTCTTTGCACTTGTGTCTTGTGTCTTTGTCTTGCTACAGCTCTGTGTATACGCTCGTGACTCTTCTGGTATTCTGACTCGGCTTGTGACTAAGACCATTCTCTGTGTTTCCCTTTGATCTGACCTTCCGTTGCTGAACCCGGCCCGTGACCTGTGATTCTCTGTCTACTGTTCTGTACTGTTTTGTCCCGTTGTTATTGACCCGGCTTGTCTGACTACGCTATTGTCATTCTCACCAGCTACACGCCATTGGCGGCGGCCATTACCGCAGCTGGGGTGTCTCGGGGGCCGCGACCTGGTCCCTGGTTGCGTCAAGTCCATCCCCACCATCAGGGGCCCTGGTGAAGGGCAGCCTGGGACTTAGACTCCGCGCCCTGAGGGACTTCAGTCTGTTGGTGGTGGTTGTCGTCAGCCAGTGCGTTACCCTGCCACTAGGCCTACCTGTCCGTTCCACAGCCCTGCCCTGACAGTTAATTCCAGTATATATAACGCCATTTGTAAACACTATAACTTTCACATAAACCCATTAATTTACACGTATTGGGATTTGTTTTAGCAAAGACATGTAGCAGAATACATTTTGGCCAAAAGTTATGACGAAATTAGATTTTTGAAATTTTGTTACTGGACATGTTTAATAGCAAAATGTCAAAAATATTGTTTTTTTCCTCAAAATTGTTGGTCTTTTTTGTTTATAGCGCAAAACATACAAAGCGCACAGGTAATAAAATACCACCAAAAGAAAGCTCTGTTCATGGGGAAAAAAAGATCATGATTTTCACTTGGGTGCAGCGTTGTATGACCGCGCAATTGAGAAAATGCAAAGAATCTCTGAATTGTGCCTGTGCCAAGCTATTGACCTCTGATGTGCACAATGCAGCAGGGCAGCTGCTAGGCACGGGACCAGAAGCTAGTAGAGATCACTTTTCATCGCTGTAAGGTAGGCACCCCAGCTTGGACCTACACCATGGCTATTATCTTCAGTGGCAGTAAACAATACCTAATACAAAAGGTGTGAAGATAAATATTTAATGCAAAAGACCCAGCAAGCTAGTTGAGGGTCTAGTTGTACTGGGGAACCCACAACTTTGTGCAAATAGGTTATTATTTGCTTTCAGTAAGCCTGTATCTGTGGGCAGAACCAGGGCAGGTATACAATGGAACTAGAGGCTCCTTGACACTTAGGGCATAATGGATTATAAATTGATTTATAACTAGGGTGGAAGACCATGCCTCTATCTGTATCTATGGTTTATATCTACAGTGGGAGCCCAAAACAGGACCATACAGAAAAACATATTGTCCCTGCTGGTCCAAAGCCACATGATGTAACATAAACTGAACAAATTCAGGTATAAGGATGCAAATTCTCACTGGAGGTGAAGGAATGGGTTGCAGGATAATCCCAACCCACCCATGAGAGTTGGGTCACATCAGTCAAGTGGGATTGAAATGAGGTGATGGCATCCCCCTATTGTTTCTTAAGGAAAGCAATAATGGAGGAGCATTTAGCTTTGTGATCCATACCTTTAGCATTCCACTCAATTCATTTAAAGAATTCCATAGCAAATGAGAGTATATGGTTGCTGGACAGGCAGGTGAACACCAGGTAAAATGAGCCCATCTAATAATGTGGCTTAATGGTGCTGAAAATATATGTAAGGGTGTAGGCAGGTGTAGGTTGACTTCCTTATACAGCTGGTGCTGTCTAAAACCACCATGCAGGGAGAGTGGAGGACACATTCCTCTTAGGGCTCCATTTGTGTCCTCGGGTGATCAGCTGTCCGATTGGATGCTGCTGTTCCGGATGACCTCCGTAGCCATCTAGTGAGGGCAGCTTTTATAAAAAACACTGGTGGCTAACTGCAGTTGGTACCCATTTTGTGTGCAGGTAGGATAGGTACAGGAATTTGTTGGATAGTAAGAGGGTGCCTAGCGTAAGGAAAGGTTCCAAGTGAGGAGGGACAGTATAGGGACTGCTTTCCGCTTCTAGTGCCTTGTTGCATACTGCCTCCTAGCTGCCTCCAGTGCCAGGTGCTGTCGGTCCTCGAGCATCTTCCTCTGCAAGTACTGCATAATGATATGTGATTGTTTCTGCCAATTTGAAACCTCTACATAGACTCTGTTACAGTGTGTTTGGAACGTTCTTTACAATACACTTCCTTGAAATCTTGGACCTCCATGTGTTGTTCCTTCCCTCTTGGGTGACTACCACCCGGCCTCACTCCTGCCTACATGGATTTACCAAATACCACCAAGAATTTCAGTACTAAACTGACCACCAATGTCAGGGGGCCATACATTGAACACCAATGTAAATGGACCTTCACCATTTATTACTTGTATAATGGGACACTAGAGTTACAGTGTTTACTGTTTGAGGTTCATTTCAGTCATTTTATGATCATTACTAAAAATAATTGTGTCATACAGATCAGGTGGGGGGTTCAAAATGTTATCTGCTCTGGATGTCAAATGTATTATATCTATAGCTTACTGATCATGATAATGTACCCTGAGTTGTAGCTGTAATCATGGCTGGTAGGAAAGACCTAAGCGTTTGTCAAAGGTTCCTCTATGGTAAAAGTGAGGAACTATAAGGATTCACTTATATGTTAAATAAGAATCTTATAAAGAAAAACTGTTGGGATGTGGTACTGCTTCAATTTTGGTTGGATATAGGAACTAGGGATGGGCTTCATGTTCGAGTCGAAACTAAGTTCGACTCGAAAATGGGCCGTTCATATGTTCAGGGAATACATGAGCGGTACGGGCGTTCGGTGGGCTGTTTTCCCATCACATCCCACAATGCACTGCGCCCTGACAGTGCATTGTGATTGGTCAAAGCAATGCACCTAATCGCAGCATGTGATGACCTTGTGACGTCATGACAGTATTTAAGAACTGTCATCAGAGGTGCTGCTGTCAGGTGGCGGGAGTCGGTGTCGCGAGCGGAATACTTTTTTTTTTTTCGGGTAGCGGCGGACATCGAATTGCTGTTGGATCTACTTTGGGGGACATTTTTTTTATCTTTAATAAAGGACTTGTCAAAGACTGTCTCCTGTCTTTTTTGCACTACATTTTTTTGTGAATGGGTAGT